ATTAGTCAGTCATGTGCTGCACATGAGAGAACTGAATAAATTCAGTTGCTCTAACTAGATAGTATCTACTCAGGGAAGAAGAAACAGATAAGATAATTGAATGAATTGGTTAGGATTTTACAAGTGACAAGCTGTGTATTACTCCACTTAAGAGGATATTAGATTTCAGAATATCTTCACTTGACAGAAGGATTTAATTTAGATTAATTTAATGAGTTTCAAAAATAAATAATAATAAGAATAATTGCTAGTATTTATATAATGTTTAAAGGTTTTCAAAGCATTTCCACAATATATCATTTATCTTCTCAATAAACATATAAAGTAGATGGTATAGTTATGTCCATTTTGCGATTGGGAAGCTGAGATACAGAGAGGTGAATTTATTTTTCCAGGGTCATACAGCCAATAAGTGTCTGAGACCAGAATTGAACTCAAAACTCCATGATTTCAAGTTCAAAGCTCTATCTACTGCACCACCTAGCTAATCTAAAATTTTTCTTTTGGTATGATACACATTATTTCTTTACTGTGGTCCCCTCCCCTTCAAATCAATTCCCAGAGACTCTGTCTCTGCAATTCATTCATTATTGGCAGAAACTGGATAAACATAGCCTAACAGCTGGGCTGAAACTCTGCAAATTCTTTACTGCTTTACACTGCAGGCATAGCTTATTCAAGAAAGTCATTAGAGATTGTGAAAGGAATAAGGCAGATAAACATATGTGCTGCTGTGTTTGGAAATAAGCTGAATATTCATGTACAAATGACTCTCATGTTTGAAGATTTTTGTCTTTGAGAAAATTAATTCCAAGAATGACTAAACTTTTATGCACATCACATTTCTCTTACACCATAATGATATTAATGCAGTGCCATGGAAAATGTTGATTTATAAAATAATTAGTGGTACTGGAAGGTCATTTGTATAATTTTAGTAGCCCTATTTTTAAAAAAAATCTAAGATTCATGTATCATGGACATATAAAATGATTATTTTTTTATTACTTATATTTAGACAGAACTAAAACCCACCTAAACATCTAAGGTATTAAACTTCCAGAAATATGTTAGACTTAAGGCTAAATATTAATGCATTAAAATTAAAAAAAATATGACAAACAAAATTTTTAAAAGCTATATTCCTAAAGGAGTTAGTACCTTGGTCCTTATTTTCTTATAGAAAAGCAGCCTGGCATAGTGGAGAGTGCTGGGATAGAGTCAGCAGGACTTGAGCTCCCACTTCACCTTTGATACTCTCTGTATGACACTAATCCAGTCATTTATCATCAATGTATCTCAAGCCACTCCCTAGGACATGTCCTAGTCTAGTTCCCCACATTGGGAATTACTCCAAAATGATGTCTTTCCAACATTTTTTGCAATAATTCTTGGGTAAGGACAACATGAGTGTTCCAAAGACAGAAACATAGCATATATCAATATGTATGCTATATCAAAGAGTTACTTAAGTGCTAACTGGAAAAAAAAAAGATAAAATCCTTCTGGTACTGTATTTTTTTGTGTTGACTGATGAGAGGAAGATCACGGAAGATCAGGCTGGAAAGTGAGGATGGGTAGGATCAAATTATAAAGTGTTTGAAATGTTAGTCAAAGGAATTTCAACTTGACTTCAGTAGGCAAGAGGGTTTCACTGAAGGCTTTTAAATAGATATGTGACGTGACTATATAAAAGAAGCAACTCCTACACATGTGCACACACACCCCCCCCACACTTTCTGATCCATGACTTCAAAGAGGAAGTGGAGAACTCTTCAATGAAAAAGAAATAATTCAAGATTGTGGGATACTTTTGCAAAGACCAGTGTGTTCCTGGTAGAAAATCTCAATAACCTTTCTTCTACCTCAAGGATTCTTACGAAAATAAAAAATCAGTAATAAATTTTTTTTGCTAGTTTGGCACTAATTTTTATACTATTCTTTAACTCAGGGAGTGATAATAGCTTTTATTAGTTTAAAGGCTCCATACTACTTAAATTCCCATTTGCAGTATTTTATATACACCTTCAGGGAGCATGGCTAGAGGCTAGCAGTAAGAGGAAAGATTCTTGTTAGACTATGGATACTATAGAAACACATGTAGAATCACAGAAATGCAGAGTCTTGGAGTTCGAAAGGGCATCAATGACTTTCAAGTCTAACCTATATCTGAACAAGAATTTCCTCTAAAAACAAATTTGACAACATTTCTAAGCCTTTACTGGAAGTCCACCAGCTTCTATTTGTTTTACATATCAACCTAGGTCCTTTGTAATTTGAAATTCCATTTGCATTCCATTTGGTTTACAGACCATCAAACTGCTCCTATTTGATTTAAGTTGCATCATTGAATATGCTGCTATTTGCATCTAAAAATATACAAAATTCTTGCAAAGTTATTCTTCATCAGCCCATTTTTGCCACCTTTTATGCTGCCACATTTGACTCTTACTTGGAGTATCTCAGCAACCTAATCCAGGCTCTGAAATGTAATTTAAGCAGTGAGGGGATGTGGCTGCTAGTCTAAGGATAAGGAGAAGGATTGCGCTTTTTTGTGAGAATGTTTTGTAACTTTCTTGTGATCAGTGCCTAGTTTCTACTTCTCCAGTTTTTCCAACCAGAAGGAAGGCCATTGGGAATCCTGGCCAGCCTGTTCAAGGCTGGGGATTCCCTGTTTGTCACTGTCAGCTCTGCTTAAAGAGCAATGCAACAGAAAGTGTTCAGCATTCCTACACCTATGTGGGATTGATAGGGACAGACAGTCTGGAATGAGAATGCCAGGAATGGACATGAAGTCATGAATATGAAAGGAAAAGCAAATCACTGGTCTCTCCCTGTCAGCTTCCAATACCAAGGCTCCTCAAATTCTAAAGTGTCTCATTAACCCTTGCCTTACCTCCTGGGGAAAAACAAAAACAAAAACAAAAACAGAACGTAAGCTGAACTCTGGAGATAGGTGATTATTGGGTTGTGTGGGATATATTGTTGTTTTGCTCTGAAAAGTTTCTCTTCGTGTTAGATTAGAATGCTCCCTCTCCCTGCCATAGAGACATTAATGCTTAGAAGAGAGACAACTTAACCTGGAAATTGCAGGGAGCTTTGGGAAGACAAATGCTAGCTAAACACCTCTTGCTTTCTCTCCTAAAAGCTTCTTGGATCATTATGTGCCAATAAATGAAAAGAAAATTGAGGTGACTAAGAAGAGACATACTACCATGGAGACATGCTGTACAACTGGAAGAAAAAGGGAGATGGATGGGACAGGAGAGATCTCTACCTGTCTCTCCCTAACAAGCAGCACACAAAACTAGCTATCCATTAAAAAGAAAGGCATTAGCTTATAGAGATGTCATTACCCTCAAGTGATTCTTTTATCTTTTAGGGGCAGAGAAGGGCATACTATATAATAATTAACATTTATATAGCACTTTCAGGCATATGATACTTACAAGGACCCTGTGAGGTAGGTGTTGTTGTTTTCCCTGTTTTACAGATGAAGAAACTGAGACTTCAAGAGGTGACAGGATTTGTCCAGAATCACATAGCTAGTAAGCATCAAAAGTAAGATTTGAAGTTGTCTTCCTGCTTCTAGTTCCAGTCCTGTGCACCTGGGCATCACCTAGCTGCCCTATTAGGCCTGGATCTGCCCATAACCAATGCATCTGGGATTATTGACCATAGCCGATTCCCACCCCTTTATCCTTTTTTCTTAAAAACCTGAATGCACCACTATTTTTGGCCTTCTTTATTACAACTTTCTTGTACTGCAGTACATTGCCTAATTGGGGACCTCTTACCTTCGCAGCTGGGTACCTGTTAGTGGGTCTGAGCAGTTATTTAGAAATAGAGGCTATTTTAATATCACCCTCAGCAACTGGATGACTTTATTCTATTTATTTATTTTTGGTGAGGCAATTTGGGTTAAATGACTTGACCAGAGTCACAAAGCTAGTGAGTGGTTTATGTCTGAGGTATTTGAACTCAGATCCTCCTGACTCCAGGGCCGGTGTTCTATCCACTGCACCAACCAGCTGTCCCAAGGATGACTTTATTTTCACTGCCCAGAGGTGTGCAGCTAGGTGACCTAATGGATGGAGGAATAGAATTCAGGAAGAACTGAATTCATATCTTGCTTCAAGTGCTTAGTATCATTGTCACTCTGGGAAAGTTACAACTTCCCCATAGCCCCAGTTTACTCATCTGTAAAAGGGGTATAGTAATCTTAGAGGGTTGTTATGAGATCAAGTTAGATAGCATGTGTAAAGCACTTTGCAAATCTTAAAGTGGTAAATAAATGAAATTATTATGATTACATATGTATATATATATATATATATATGTACATATATATGAATATGTGTCCGTGTGTGTGTGTGTGTGTGTATATACACATGTGTGCATATATAATATATATATATATATATATATATTATATGTATACATATATATATATATATATATGTATATACACACACACACACACACAAAAAGATTTATCAAGCTTTCCTGTTCTTAGAAATATTTCTCTTTTTTTGCCTTTTTTTGGGGGCGTGAGGCGATTGGGGGTTAAGTGACTTGCCCAAGGTCACACAGCTAGTAAATGTTAAGTGTCTGAAACTGGATTTGAACTCAGGTCCTCCAGACTCCAAAGGCCAGAGTTCTATTCACTGTGCCACCTAGCTGCCCTCTTAGAAATATTTCTAAAGGGTAAGGCAAGATAGTGAAGAAAGAAGACTTTTACAGTTGCTAAGGGATGATGAAATGTTGAAGAGACTCAAAAGTAATTCAGTCTTTATTTCCTAAGCACACTCCTCATCTACCCTGGGCTTACCTGCTTTGCCCTATTCTCCAGATTTTTGCTCTGACAAGTGCATATCCCCCTTTCCCTCAGACACAAGTTGAATGAGGTCACTTCAGGTTACACTGCTAAAAACTTCATCAGGTGTGTGCATTGAATTAAGAGAACTGAGCCATGTATCATGATTGTGTTTTTACATTACCTCATGGGACAAGTAAAAGGCAGCAATTCCCAAAGGCCAGAAGCAGCAGAGCATGGAGAAAACACTGAGGCCCAGATGATCCCGTGGAGGCATCATCAGAAAGTTGTCCTCACTCTCTGTGTCACTCGAATAGTCACTCTGGAACAGCAAAGGGAGGAGGAATAGGAAGATGGGGAAGAGAGAAAACACTGGTTAGTGACAATATTGGCCAATAAGTATTCCTTAAAGCCTATTAGGTACCAGGTACTGTGATATGGGGGCTATGTGTTTAAGCATAAAGAATAAAATAATATCTAATTGGGGGAGACAACAAATGAATATGTGAATACATATAATTGTAAAGTGAATAAATATAAATATATACAAATTAGTTAAATAAAAAGTAGTTTAAGAATGAGGACACTAGCAATAGTGTGCGTCAGAAAATTCTTCATATAAAAGATGGTGCCTGACCTCCCTGATAAAGGAAGAAACAGATGCTGTGAAGAGGGGGTGTTAGAAAGGAACATGAAATTCTAGGCTTGTGGAACAACTGGTGGTGGTGGTAAGGAGCAAAGTGGGGGTGAGGGGGAGTTTACAGCCACTGCGATCAATGCTTTTTACTGATATTATCTCATCTGACCCTCACAACAACCTTGAGAGGTAGATGCTATTATTATCTCCATTTTACAATTGAAGAAACTGAGGCAAACAGTGACTTGTCTGAAGTAGCATAGTTGGAAAGTATCTGAGACTGGATTTGAACTCAGGTCTTCCTGACTCCAGGCCCAATGCTCTGTTCCCTAGCACAACTAGTATAAAAGTATGGAAATGGGAGGAGTGTTGCATGTGACAAGGCCAGCTTGGCAGGATTGTAGAGTACAGGAGGCCAAGTAATGGGCGTCATTGGAACTCTATGGGACCTTAAACTCTTGAGGAATCACAGAATCATAGAATTTCAGAGCTGGGAATGATGCCAGAGATAAATTTATCCAACCCATATCCGATCAAGGATACTTTTTACATTTTCCAACAACAGATCCTCCAAGGACTGCTTGAAATACTTTAGTGACAGGGATCCCACTGCTACCCATGGGTGCCCAGTCCACTTTTGGACATCTTCATGGGTTTGGAAGATTTTCTTAATGTTAAGAATGAATTGCCATTATGCAATTTTACCAATTATTTTTAAGTATTCCCCTAGATCTCAAGCAGAAAGAATGGATTTAGTCCCTATTCCTTAAAGTACTGACAACTATTGTCAAGTCTTCCCTGAGTCTCATGTCATGGTGACATCTTTAGGTCCCAAGCAAATAGTCTATTCAAGTTGAGTTTGAGGTGGGAGACCCTTAAATACTTAATCCTAGTCAATCAAGTTATTTCTTTAATCAGAGAATTATAGAATTAGAGCTAGAATGGGCCTTATAGGCAATCAAGGCCAACCCACTCGCTTTATGTGTGATGAAACTGTGACTCAGAAATATTAAATGGCTAGTAGTACAAGTCAGAAGCTGGATTTGAACATAGTTCTTCCAAATTCTAAGCACAGCATTTTATAGATGTAACCACATTATACTGACATTCAGTAGAAGTTAATCACAGATATTTTATTTCAAATTCTTTCATGATGTGAGAATTTGAGTATGGAAATTAATTTAAAAATTCTTATATGAGCAGTTCCATTCTTTTGGGAGTCATTTTTCCTTATCCAAAAACTTGTTATCAAAGGTTGTCAAGCAAAGACTGGAAACCAGACATTAACACATAAATGTATCTTGTCGTTCTTATTCTTAATGGCTTCCCATGACTTATGAGTTAGTTTGTGATCTATGTATATAGAAAGATTTTGTTTGGGACTATATTGAAGGTGAATTTTACTACAGAGCTCATTTCCTATTAAACAATATTTGAATGAGTGTTCTGTTATATATTTGCCACTGCCTTCCTTAAAAGGTGATATACCTGCCCTTTGTGAGATGACAGTAACTGCTGTTAAGTCAGTATTCTGTAAATGCTGGCCCCAGATTTATCATTCGTCTTCAGAAACCCCAAACTGTTTGTGCAGGTGGTCTTTGAATATAAAAGAGATAAGATATTCTAGCGTACAGGACACTAGATTTGGAGTTCAAGGACCTAAAATCAAGTCTCACCCGGGCCGGTTATTAACTATGTGGCATTAGAAAAGTCATTTATCTTCTCTGAAATTTAGTTTTATCATTTGTAAAGGGAGAATAAGCCTACTTACTCTTCTTATGGCATAGGGTTGTTGTGAGTCATGAATTAAGTGATATATATATATATATATATATATATATATATATATATATACACACATACATACACATATATATACACACACATACATATATATAGATATAGCAATTTGTATATTATGAAATTCTATAGAAATGCAATATATCATCATTGCTGTGGTTATTGTAGTTGCAGGTAATATGCTAAGGATATATATATATATATAAACCTCAAGTGACAACACTTGTATCTGTCTGTCCCTGTCTCTAGTAGATCCCTGTTTCCAGATTCACATCAGGAAAATGCATAGAAAAGCCCAGATTTCAGCATTAGTACACTATAACACATCCACACAAACTACAGTCACAATGATTAAAACTCCCCTACTGTTTGTGTGTATGTGCACTCATGTCTCTAGGTACACACAGGTGAGAGAGAGACAGTTGGGTGTGAAATCATTTGACCCGTGTTCAAATACTTCCTTTGATACCTACTAGCTTTGTGACCTTGGGGAAGTCATTTTGACTCCATAGAACTCATCCTTAATCTAGAATAATGAATTAGATGAGACAATGTCTTAGGTCCCTTCCAATTCTAAGTCCTTTGATCTAAAACAGAATCTTTTTTTTTTTTAATGTGAGACTGGACTTGAAACAACTAACATATTTCAAAAAACAAACTTATGAGTTAAAGTATAAATTATGAGTTCCTAAAAAGTCTTCCCAACTTTTTGGTGTGCATAACCTAGCGAAAAGAATTATTCATGTGACTGTTTGGGATGCAATTATGAATGTACTACATACTTTTTTTCATAAAAATAGTTTGAATGCTTTGCAAATTGTATGATCAACCTTTTGAAACTCCATGAACCAATTTTTGACCTAAAAATGTTAAAATGACTAATTCTTTTATGAAAACATATATAGTACCTTCTCTCAACATAAGCTATCATTTTTCCTGTTTCAAGAATCACATAATAGTCAGGCATCAATCCTGTGTCAAAGTAATTTCCATTCTTTCTACTGTGCCACATTCTTTCCCATATGGTATTTCAAAACAGTAGCATAAAATGAAGATTACCATCATTATGTCTAGCACAGAAGGAAGAATTTAAGAACATACAGGGATGAATAATTCATTGTTAAGTTTATAGACCTTAAACCTTCCAGGTGGTGTTGCCCCATTTTTTTTTTTTTTGTCACATCTCTGAATGCCTCCATCTTTTATGTGAATGAAAAATGTGTAACACTCAGGGCTTCCAGACAGCTTCTGGGTATTTAGACAGCTGTGTATATTCCCATACAGTAGCTCTTCTAAAGAAAGCAGCTTCTGTGCACTGAACTACCACATTCAGTCTACATAATCTTCAGATATGCAACTGTTGAATCAGAATGGAAAACTGAAGTTCAGATTACTGGATTTATCTATCATTCATTTAATTAATTCACTAAAAGTAGATAATTTGATAAAGATGGATTTTTTGTTTGTTTTTAATCTTGGTGTTGTCTTTTTTTGTTTTTCTGTGAACCTGAGATTTCATCATGTAGGGAATATCTAGAGGGGAAATTGCTTCCACTAGAGCTTATTAACTGCTCTTAGATCCTATTTCATCCCAGCCTCCTAGCTTCTTCAAGTTTCAGCTAAAGTTCCATTATCTGCAGGAAGGTCTTCTTAGTCTTCCTTAGCTTTTGTGTCTTCCACCTAAGATTATCCTCAATTTACCCTATATACATCTTATTTGTAGATAGTTATTTGCATGTTGTCTCTCTTATTAGACTATGAAGTACTTGACAGTGAGGATTGTTTTTTGACTTTCCTTGTACCTCCAGGACTTAGCACAATCTCTTGCACATAATAGGACAGTTTTAAAAGGCACAGCAAGTTTCTTATAAATACATACACACACATATATATGTATATGCATATATACATATATAATATATTTGTCGTTTCATAGGCATTTTTTAATTACTATTATAATACATTATGGAAATGCTTGTTTTATTCCATAAATTAAAAATAAAATAAAATTTGGAAAATATTAAAAAATAAATGCTAGGAGGGCGAAGCCAAGATGACAGAGTAAAGGCAGGGACTCACCTGAGCTCCCCCCAAACCCCTCCAAATGCCTTTAAAAATTACTCTAAACAAATTCTAGAGCAGGAGAATCTGTAAAAAGATGGAGCAAAACAAATTTCCAGCCCAAGACAACTTGGAAGGTCATCAGGAAAGGTCTGTTGCACCAGGGTGAGATAGGAGCACAGCCTAGAACAGGCCACTCTAGCACAGACCTGGTTTCAGCAAACTCAGATCAGGTGTCTGGTCAACTGAATCACTGGCAACTGAATACCTGGCAGCAGTGGCGGTTTCCAGACCTCTCAGCCCACAGATGCCAAAGACAACTTGGAAAGTTGACAGGAAAGATTAGTTGCACCTGGGTGAGAGTGGAGACCAGTCCAGCACAGGCTGTGCCCCAGCAAACCAGGAGCGCATATTTGGAGTGACTGAATCCACAGTGGCAGCAGCTGCTTCTGGAGCTCTCAGCCCAAAAATTGTAAAGGAGTTGAACAACTGGTCAGAAGGAGATTATAGGGAACTCTTTGCTAGCTGGACTGTGTTGCTTTGCCCATAGGCAGATTGGGGTCATAGTCCTGGGTGGCAGTCCCAGAGTGAGGAGGAGCACATAGCATACCAGAGCTTGTGGCTGCAATAGAGGGGAAACCCTCCTCATAGTTCCAGGGCAGAAAAGAGGGCTTGTGGTCACTCATAGACCAGAGCACAGGCCAGGAGAGGAGTGAACACCTCTCTTTAGATCATACCACCTCAGAAGAACTGAAAACTTACAGGTCCCTAGAAGTATCCCTTAAAACAGCTGCACAAAACCCCTGAAGCTTGGGACAGTTCAT